TTCTGGGCTTTTTTTTTTTTCCGTTGACAAACTGCAACTCTGTGTTGCTCTCTGGGAGACTCAGATAGCTATTTCTGCCTTTTAAGGCGTCGTCAGTGAGTCACACCCACTTCTCAGATATCCTCCCTGTAAAGGTACAATGTATCTTTTTCTTTTTGTAGGCTTTTATGTGCATATTCTTTCTAGCCAGGTTTTACCTACGTAAACTAAGTTGTTCTGCAGCCCTGGTTCTGTGAAATCTCATTCACAAGCTTCTGGGTTTTTTTTTTCCGTTGACAAACTGCAACTCTGCAGTTTGTCAATGGGAAAAAAAAAAAGCCTAAAGAGTTTCCATGGAATAACTCTCAAAGGAGTTTAAATAAGTCTGTCAGAAAAGTCATTTCTATCTGCAGTTTCTCACCCACCCCCTTGAGATATTTTCATTTCCCCCAAATGTGTATAATACTGGTCTCCCAATCTGAAGCATTTATCAGATATTTCTAACTGTCACCTTTGTTATTTTTTTTCTTTTCTTTTCTATTCTGCAGCTGCAAAATATTTTCAAATGCATTTCCTTTATCAAAGCTCTTCACTTTTTTTCAAAAGAGGCTGCTAGAAATGTCCCTGGAGAGCCATACACTTTCTCCTCCACCAGTTTGTTTAAATAATCCATCCTTCCACTAGTCTTGTTTCATTTTATTGCTAATTTCTTCCTTTACATGAGGAAACCTAGCTCTTTTCAGAAAGACAATGGATGTTCTAAACAACCAAGTAATGTTGTATCCCAACGGTGAGCATTACATTCCTCCCATTCCAGAGGTGGGTTTCAGCAGGTTCTGACCAATTCTGGAGAACCGGTAACGGAAATTTTGAGTAGTTCAGAGAACTGGTAGTAAAATATTCTGACTGGCTCCGCCCCCATCTATTCTCTGCCTCCCGAGTCCCAGCTGATCGGGAGGAAATGGGGATTTTGCAGTAACCTTCCCCTGGATTGGGGTGGGAATGGAGATTTTACAGTATCCTTCCCCTGGAGTGGGGTAGGAATGGAGATTTTATAGTATCCTTCCCCTGCCATGCCCACCAAGCCACACCATGCCCACCAAGCCACACCCACAGAACCGGTAGTAAAAAATTTTGAAACCCACCACTGTCCCATTCATAATTTCTTCACTAAGCATTCCTACTGGGGAAGGTATTTAGGAGAAGGGGAAGCCAAAACCTTTAAAATGGTGGGCAGAATAACACACACACATATACAAAAAATGCAAACGTCCTTTGTGCCCCTTCCATTTTGCAGATTTTGAGCCCCTGGCTGCATTCCTAACGATTAATTCCTCTTTCTCAATGCAAAAAAAAAAAATCAATGCAACATGAGAACGTCAAATAAACTGACACGATTGTTCAAAATGTTTAATGAAACATTGAACAGATTAATTGAACCTATGCAAGTTCCTCATATCTTTCTTTTTTTATTCAGACAGCCAATATCCCTGAGGAAATGATAAAAATCATTCTGATACTGTTTATTTTTATTTTAAAAAATGGAAAAAATAATAATTCTTAATTCAAAACAAATTGACTTCTTTGACAGTGATGCTATATTTATTGAAACAGAACATTCAGCGAACCATAACTTTTTGACATTCAGTGGATTTTCTTGTTTATCAAAAAAGCTCTCATTCTGATAGAAGATGAACTGCTAAAGAAGAAATGAAGGTATTATGGATGATATACAGCATTCAAAGATCCAGGAATTGCACATAAGAGTGACAATTTTGTTTGACAGCTATTCTTTTTGAGAAAAAATGTAATATAATTCTCATTACATAGGATTTCTTTGCAAAATGTCAAAAAAGCGAACATTCTCTTGATTTTTATAAGAATTAGCATGTTCAGGTGTTATCAACTAAGATATTGTCACTGAATATAAGTAATTAAAAAAATCTTTGTAGAATTAGAATTTCCTTTATTTGATGACAAAATACTCTTTGGAGAAAGGTTAGCTTTTTTTTTTACATTGATGCTGAAATTTTTCAGTCATTTTTAAAGGCCATAAGGAGTATCAAGCTAAAAAGTAAAGATTTCCTGGAGCCCAGCTTGATTCCTGCTGACAACAACATTTGCGTAGTTTTCATAGCAACACTATACAATGGTTTACTGATTTCTTTAAAACAGAAAATAATTATTTTAAGGAATATCTTGACATTTAGAAAGTTTATGATGGGATTTAAAAAAAAATGAAAAATTGGGAAAGTATTTTTTATTTGTTTCCCTTGGGTCATAGTATCTTGAGCTAATTCTCTTTACTGTAGAAGAAATAAATGGATTTGAATTTTTTAAAAAAGGAATTCCAAAGGATGCAGTGATAAATCTAGATGAAAACTATCTGAGGAACTCTTGGTGCTATCAATCAAATGCTTTGCATGGATATTGGGGTTTTTTCCCCTCAATATCTTAAGGGAGTTTTCTTGGTAAGGAAAAAATGAAAACATGGATTACCAAATGAGAGTATGTTCCAGCTGGAAGATAATGTATCAGTGCCCCATAAAATTATGTGAGTGATTCTGGACAACTTTTCAATGTTAATGGTATTGTAAAAATAGCCCATAAATTGGTTCCTTAATCTTCTTTAATCAAGGTATTTATACAGGACAGACAACATCCAGTGAGAAGCTTTAATTTCAATATAGCAGAAACTTGAGAAAGAAGAATTAATCACTGCCTGAAGCTATAACTATTGTGATTTCTGACTGCGTTGACACCTATCTTTAAGATGGAATGTACAGCTATTCAAAGTCCAGGTAAAGATGGTATTCAGACTGCTGCAGAATTCCAAGTTCTCTAACACAATTGTTGGAGCAGATAATAATGTCTGAACATGCTAACCATTAACAAATCCAGATGGATTCTCTTAGCTCTGTGTCTTTTTTTGTTCTTTTCCACCCAACCGACCTTTGGAAATAAATTACCGGTATGTAAAGGTGGTCTAGACTCTGATGGTCAGCACAATAGCTTTCCCAAAGCAGGACAAAATCCAACCAAAATAATTTGGGAGGGGGAGGGGGGGAAGATGGCAAAACAAAGAAAGAATTTGAAATTATATCTGATCAGGCCTGTGTCTTCAGAGGAAAAAAAAATCCTGAAAAATGTCCTTGTGCATCTGAATAGGGGAGGCAGTTGCACTGGTCCAGAATGTTGGCTATTGCTTCATTTTAGGGCCCCATTCCTTCTATTCACATGTCCCAAAGTGGAGGATAGGCAATCTGCTCTGGGCTTTCCAGTGTACACATACAAATATATGGCCTGAGGTAGTAAATTCACTGTAAATGGTTGGAAGTGGATGCAATTTGATTGTGCCATGTGTCAAGATATTCTTGACAACAATCTGGGTAACATGAGCCTTGGTGGTGCAATGGTTAGAGTGCAGTACTGCAGGCTACTTCTGGTGACTGCTGGCTGCCTCCAATTTGGCAGTTCGAATCTCACCAGGCTCAAGGTTGACTCAGCCTTCCATCCCTTTGAGGTGGGTAAAATGAGGACCCAAATTGTTGGGGGCAATATGCTGACTCTGTAAAGAGCTTAGAGAGGGCTGTAAAAGCACTGTGAAGCGGTATATAAGTCTAAGTGCTATTGCTATTGCTATATTCAGACTTTTTGTAGTTGTGTAAGTTTTATACATCTTTTGTAAATTAAATGCTAAAACTTTTGTGGTTTATTGTCTGCCATGTAACTTTCATTGTATGATATGTGTGGGAGTACTGTGTACATTCTACCTTGAATGTTTTCTCTTATCTGCTGCCCTTGAAAGAGGAAGGGGGAGGAAGATTGATTCCTTCTGCAAGGCTTCATTTGTATACGGGAGAAGCTCTTTCTATTTCTGTGTGTTTATATTACCCTTGGTTTGATCTCATGATGGTCTTTTGCCCCAACTGGGCTGCACTTCTGTATGTGCCTGTCTAAGTATATATATAAGTCCCCTGTGCCAATTAGAGAGGTTTCTATCCTGTCCCTGAACCTGCACAGCCACTTCAGGCAATCCAGAATCCACACTGTTCTACTTCTGACAGAAGGCTGACACCTAGGACCTAGGACCTGGGTATATACGAGAGCACCTTCTGCCACCGATAGCCTCCCACCAGCCAATACGCTCCCGCAGAGAGGGATTCCTCAGGGTGCCGTCGGCCAAACTTTGTCGACTGGCAACACCCGGGGGAGAGCCTTCTCTGTGGGGGCACCTGCCCTCTGGAATGAACTGCCCCTGGAGGTTCGCATGATCCCCGACCTATGCACCTTTCGCCATGCCCTTAAGACTCTTTTGTTCCAATAGGCCGGGCTGGCTTAGAAAATGATTTTTAAATTGGGTGTTTTTTGCTTTTAATATAAGGGCCAAATTTATATATTTATTTATTTTAAATTGTTTTTAAATTTTGTGAGTATATGTTTGTTTTTAATATGGCTGTACACCGCCCTGAGTCCTTCGGGAGAAGGGCGGTATAGAAGTTTAATAAACTGAACTGAACTAAACTAATGAGGACAGCATAGTTTTGCTTTCTAGAAGGAGTATCCTGGCAAACCAGTTGTTAAACTGGTAGAATCCCACACCCGCCTTGCAGGGAATTGAATTAAATGACACAGGAATTCTAATTGGGTAATTTCTATTCAGTTTAAGAACAGGAGCAGCTATGAAACAAATGAAGCCAAAATAATTGCATTGGAAATTTTTGGACTGATCCCTATCATAACTACAACTTTTTTTAAGTGCAATTTGAGATATGAGCTATCTCCAGTCCAGTCACTCTCTCAGGTTTCTTGTTGGGGAGACAACAGGAGGAGGAAGGTGTGTTGAATATATTTGCCACCTTGAATTATTTGTAATAATAATAAAGGCAGGGTATGAATAAATAAATATACAGATAAATAATTAAATCTCTGTTTAAGATTAAAATAAAACTGTTCCTTAGATCCACTTTTAAAACTACTTTTAAAGGCTTCTAAACCAAAGTAGCAGATCAATAACTTACTGGTATCAGTCCTTCATAGTCTTCCAAAGGGAATGGCATCAGTGGAATTTCATCCTAGAGAAAAAGATGGCAATGGTCAAAGATGGTTTTCTTTTATACTATCCATGTTTTGATATACAAAATTGCCAACCAAAATTGTCCACTTTTTCCCCCACAAAGTTTTATTCCTAGGTATTTTACTTTGTCTTGGCTGAGTCTTATTAGGCATCTCAATGGCCTGATCTACATATTGCACTCAATCATTAAGTTTCATATAATGCACGATACCATAAATCTTGACTTACAACCATAGCACTAACCTACAAGACCCAGACCAAATAAACCATATTTTATGTGATATAAAAACTCAGTCTACTGTATTTAATTGCATCAGAAAGATCTGCTTGCTAAAGGGAGAAAAAACACTTCTAATAAAAAAACAAAGAAGCAGACACAAGTGTTGCAACTAACAACAATAATGTGAAATGTTGGGCTGGGTAAAGTACTACAAGTGTCTTCCAGAGGAAATTTGTTTTCAAAACATTGAATGTTATTTGAAAATGACATCATCTTGCACTGTTACCCTACTTTTGCAGTGTTTCAAAAACAAATTATTTTATCACATGGGATGTGAAAGAAATATATATGCCCACAATCTGAACATAACATCTTTAAAATCACTCTTAATTGTATGCAGCAACAATAAGGCTTACAAGCAAATGTCAAAATATATTTTAAGAAAGAAAAGATATCAACAAAAAATTAAATCATTTTATATTTATATTTTATGTTGGCAATTATAACTTGATGTATTGCTTGGCCCCCAAAAAAGGATCATCAGGTATTATTAGTATCTGAACTACACTGGTTTTAAACTCATAAGATGATAAATGTTATTTAAATGAATGATGTTATATTCATTATCACATATAAATAAGTTTATTATCACTAATAATAAAAAACTTTTTGTAATGAAATGGAAAAATGTATCCAGTTTAATAGAACTGATTCTTGGAAACATTTCTACAAGGACTTTGGCAGCCTTGATCCCAATTTATAGAAGTATTTCTACAGCCAGAGCACATCCTCATGAAAGCTTTCAAAATCTTAAGAAAAATATAGCAAGTCTAGTTTAGGAAGATTTGAAAGCACTTTACAAATCTTTACGGTTTATCTAGATCCATTCCAGTTGGGTTTCAGACGTGGGTACAGCACAGAAACAGCATTGGTCGCGTTGGTTGATGATCTCTGGAGGGCTCGGGCCAGGGGTTGCTCCTCTGTCCTGGTCCTATTAGATCTCTCAGCGGCTTTTGATACCATCGATCATGGTATCATGCTGCATCGGTTGGAAGAGTTGCGGGGGGCACTGTGCTGTGGTGGTTCTCCTCCTTTCTCTCTGACCGGTCGCAGTCTGTGTTGGCGGGGGGGGGCAGAAGTCGACCCTGAGGCGCCTTGTGTGTGGAGTGCCACAAGGGTCAGTCCTCTCACCCCTTCTGTTCAACATTTATGTGAAGCCGCTGGGTGAGATCATCCGTGGCTTCGGAGTGAGGTACCACCAGTACACTAATGACACTCAGCTGTACATCTCCACCCCGGGCCACCCCAATGATGCCCTTGAAGTGATGTCCTGGTGCCTGGAGGCCGTGCGGATCTGGATGGGGAGAAACAGACTCAGGCTCAACCCGTCCAAGACCGAGTGGCTGTGGTTTCCAGCATCCCAATATAGTCAGTTGGTGTCATCACTGACTATTGGGGGCGAGTCATTGGCCCCCACGGAGAGGGCGCGCAACTTGGGTGTCCTCCTGGATACACAGCTGTCTCTGGAAGAACATCTGATGGCTGTGGCCAGGGGGACTTTTTATCAGGTCTGCCTGATTCGCCAGTTGCGTCCCTTTCTGGATCGGGACTCCTTATGCACAGTCTCCTTATGCACTCCTTATGCACTCATGCCCTCGTCATTTTTCGCCTGGACTACTATAATGCTTTCAACATGGGGCTCCCTTTGAAGAGCACCCGGAGGCTTAAACTGGTCCAGAATGCAGCCGCGCGGGTGGTTATGGGAGCGTCATGGCGCTCCCATGTAACACCTCTCCTGCGCGAGCTGCACTGGCTTTCAGTGGTCTTCCGGGTGCGCTTCAAGGTATTGGTTACCACTTTTAGAACGCTCCATGGCTTAGGACCTGGGTATTTACAAGACCGCCTTCTGCCACCGATAGCCTCCCACCGCCCAGTACGCTCCCACAGAGAGAGGCTCCTCAGGGTGCTGTCAGTCAAGCAGTGTTGGCTGGCGGCCCCCAGGGAGAGAGCCTTCTCTGTGGGGGCACCTGCCCTTTGGAACAAACTCCCCCCCGGAGATACGGAGGATTCCGGATGTATGCACTTTCCGCCGCGCCCTCAAGACTTTTTTATTCTAACAAGCTGGGCTGGCCTAACTCTTTTAATTGCTAATTTTAATTTGTTTTTTGAAAAGGGGGTGTTTTAATGCATAAGGGCCAAATTCATTTAATATGTTTTAAATTGTTTTTAAATTTTATATATTGTTATATGTTTTATCTGGCTGTTCACCACCCTGAGTCCTTTGGGAGAAGGGTGGTATATAAATCTAATAAATACAAATACAAATACAAGACAAGCTTATACTGTACTTGTCTTGGCTACTACTAAGGCTAGAAGTACCAGATCTGAACAGCAAAAATTTAGAAGGCTACTGGATCTTAGCAAACAAGTATGGTTTATTGTTGTCTAGTTTTGTTGGAATTTGTGCAGCCCCATCACCATTTCAGTTTAATTTCAAACAGATTTTATTGAACCTTCTCTCGCCCAGCATTCTTTAATTGTATTGAGATTAGAACTCTCAGAATTGCTGGACAATGTGGCCAATGGCTAAGCTGTAGTGCAGTTTGAGCTTATTACATGAACCTCAGTTGTGAGTCAAGTTGAGTTCTGTAAACCTCGATGTAGGGCAATGTGGGAACACAGCATCAGTCTTAAAATAATGTTTTATATATTTTTCTTACTTAGAGAATGTTTTATGATCATCGCTTTGTTATAAACATCTTTGAAATATCACTTTTCCTTTGAGAGGACCAGGTCCTCTGGTTTGCAATTTATTATTTTGGGGGCAGATATACAACTGAGCAGAAAGTACTAAGCAAAAAGCAGGCCATTCTGTTTCCAAGATAACAATGGCATTTTGGAACATCAAAATAACATTCATAAAATTCTCTGAGAAGCAACGTGAAATGTATTGGATTTAAGGGCCTTGGTAGTACAGTGGTCTAAAGCACCCTGTTATTAACACAGCTGCCTGCAATTACTGCAGGTTCGAATCTTACCAGGCTCAAGGTTGACTCAGCCCTCCATCCTTTCTAAGGTAGGTTAAATGAGGACCCAGTTTGTGGGGGCAATAAGCTGACTTTGTATGAATATACAAAAGTATGAAGGCTATTGCTTAGCGCATTGTAAGCCGCCCTAAGTCTCCGGAGAAGGGCGGCATTTAAATCAAATTTTTTAAAAAATGTTACATTATAAATCCTATTACGTAAATTGGAAGCTATGAATATAATCTCCAGCATATGGCAAATTACACATCACTCTGTTTTAGCATTTATTTTGGCCAGCGTGCCACAAGTGCAACTAATTCCACTTTTACCCGAAGCACACTCAAAGTTTTCTATGCATGCTAGGATCTCTTATGTAGAGACTTCCTTCTAAGCCAACATCCCATGACATGCAATCCACCACCTAGGAAAAATACGTTCATCCAGCCAGTCCAGTCATTCTACAGCTTTACTTTCAAGAAGCCCGAAAGATCTTTGATACTCTATCAAATGACCACAAACAGATTTGTCCTTCAGCTTTGCTCATCTCTAGCACTAACTGATTTACTGTGTTCTGGGAGGGCTGATCTTGAGCCTCATTCAGGACATTTGCCAATCCCGATAGAATGCATAAAGGCTGTTGTGGCTCCGTTACCGGAGCCTGTGTCATTGTCAGGAGAGGACTTTGAGAGTGAAGGGGAGGAGTTGGCAAGGCCTCCCTCTCCAGGACCCTCCTCTCTGGCAATGCCTTCGGTGTCAGCCGAAGGGCAAGAGATAGGGCCAGGGCCAAGCACGTCCACGCAGCCACAGATGGAAAGTGATGAGGGTAATGAGTCTTGGCTGGACCCATGCCAGCGTCGCAGAGATAAGCGCGTGCAACAGAAGGGCGTGCCCGAGATTAGGCTGAGTCTGGACCACACCCCACAGGATATAAAAGGGAGCGTGGTGGCCAGTCAAACCTTGTGACGAACAAAGCTGAAAGCTTCCACGCCATTCTGCATTGCCGGACTTTTGCTTTAAGACTGGATTATCTCTGGACTTGATTGTAATTATTGAGCTGCTTTCCTTTGATGTATCAGAAGTGGGGAGAAGTTATCTCTCCTCTTTGTAAATAATAAACTCTTGGCAGGCAGCCACTAGGTTGTTGCCAAGTTCCGTTATCATAAGGAAAAGGATTTTGCCGGCTGATTTGGTCTTTAACTCCTGAACATCTGTTGGTGTGTGTGCATGGGGTTGGGGACAGAACAAAGGCTAGGAATGCCCCTCCCAGGGGCTGCATGTGGAATGTATTGTGAACTCGGAATGTGTCCAGATTACTATAATGCCTGTGACAGCCTCTTGATAGGCTCATCTCTGATTGCTTATAGAGCAGTTTCAGATTATTGTCAGCAAGTGGTTGCCTGCACACTGTATTACTTGGTGTTTGGACATTTGCCTTTTTCCTTCTAAAATGAATAGAAATAGGATGGAACAGAAATTATTCCTGAGAAACAGTGACTCATTTCTTCTGTAGTGTACATTTTTAAAAAGGGAATATACTAATTTGCATTGACATTGCTTTGTTCCAGTATATAATAAGTACTTATATACTCTATTCATACCAAAAAAAAAAAAAAGATAGTGGAAATGGCAGGTTTTTATTAAGGGGAGTGGGAACCAATCTACTGAGTACCGAACAAAATCAGCAAGCATGACATTCTGCCCGCCTATTAGTGTGGGAAACAGGAAAAGAATGGGGGAATAGAGTAGAGTGGA